CTTTAAGACAGTTTTATGTCAGTTACGTTTGGTAAACATTTGAAAATTATTATAGGGGTGGTGACCACCTAGGTGTGACCTCGGTGTATATTTCTTAGCGCGACCAAAAATTACAATATTTTTGTTCATCGAGCACATGGGGTTTTGCACTATACATATTTTTAAACAATACCCTTAATAATAAATATCTCCTTTGTATCACTGTACACGTAGATGCGTATATCATGTCCAGGTTTTCCGTGCGAGGCTAATAATGTCTCGAATATATCTTCCAGGAAAGGTAAATATCGTCTTTCGCTTCGCCTCTAGCGTGTCTGCGTGCGAGAGGCGGTGTAATTTTGGTAATTGCCACGGTTCATTAGACACGGCGTATACAAGGGACCGACACGCGCGGACAAAACGATCGTGTACTTTGTACGCAATTTTTCCTCGGTATTGGTTAACTTGGCCCTTCATGGGTGTGGCGTTCCAAGAGTGCATCTGCAGCACGCGAATGCGTCCCTCGAGGGCTCATTAAAGCGCCGCGTTACCCCCGATGCTGCGATGGCGCGAAAGCACACCTTGCGCATACGCATGCACTTTTTTTGCTTTGTAATTTTGATCATTATCTGTGGCAGCTTGGATATTGCACTCGGCAACCGAACTACTTTTTATTTCTTTATTATCGAATCATTACGCGAAATTAGCCTAGATAGCAATGAAAATTCGATATCTATGTATATTGTGAATAAGTGTGTGTATACATATTTACATTATAATGCATGTATATATTTTTGTATATATACTTATATACATATAGTATTATGTATACATTTATTTTGTTACATGTACATATATGTATATACATTTATTTGCGCTTCGACAATTTTCTTTGAAGTCAAAGTTTAGACCTCCCTTTCCTTCATTTCCCCTAAATTCCGAGATTTAGTCACAGACTAAAGGCGAGAGAATTTCATTTACGTCGTTCCGATCCGCTGCATATTCAAACGACGTAAGATTTTCGAGGAACGAGCCAATCGTGTATCCGCGTTCCATGCAGGTGCACGGTGGAAGAAAAAAGAAAAAAAAGGATCGATACCAGCGTCGTCTCGTGCAAAATCCGTAAAGGGTTTCGTGGGATCGTGAGGTCCTCCTCCCTCCTCCCACCCCCCTTTTCGAGGCGACTCCCTTTGATGTCGCTGGACGGAGTCGAAAGATTTTGAAATTCCGTCCGAGGTACCGGAAAGAGCGAGAATTTCACTTACGTCGTCGATCTTCGCTTATCTGGGGGCCGCCGCGTAAAATTTTCGGGGGAAATACACGGGCGCGCATGCAGGCGTTGCCAGCCGCATATTCGAGAGCCCAGGTGCACCCATCGCCATCGCCATCGAGGCGATCGGCAGCGCGGAGCGGCGCGGCGAGGCGGTGTGCGCGCGCGAGAAAACCCCGGGCATTACCTCTTCCTCTACCTTCCAGCCCTCACGTGCCGTCCCTTTTTCTTCGTTCCGCCGGCATATCGGGCACGATTTTTCAAAGCGACTCACGTCCTCTCAATGTGTGATATGCCTCTCAAGCGACACGAAGCCGAGGGAGACACGCGAGTACGCTGCGTGCGCGTATCTACCGTTCAGCCGGTGCCCATATATTAGTGCATATACACGTGGTATCCCGCCAAAGAAAATGAGAAAGAGAAAGAAAGGGAGAGAGAGAGAGAGAAAGAGATTCACAAAGGGAGTCACTTTTTACTTGCGGATTTTCTAAGTAAAAATATGGAGCCGACCTTTCCTTGGTAAAGACGTCAAGAGCCCGAAACGTTACGATTGAGGATAAAGGGTTTTTTTTTCGAGGACCAAGCTTTTTTTAAAGCGCGAACAGCATGAGATATATTCTTTATTCAGTTTTACTTGTATTCTCCATTTTAAAGATTACACGGACATTTTTTTACATTAAAATCTCACAGCAAATAGAAATGGATATCCTTTATAACATTTAAAGAAAGAGAATGCGTAATCACATGAAACCACGAAGGGGCAATTCTTTGAAGTAATGTCTGAACAAATATTACTCATTGTTATTTGTATCGCTCAAAACGTGTAACTCGAGCGGCATTACGAGTCCGTTTGGAGTTATAGCGAGTGCATAGTGCATATAAGCTAAAAGCTTTCCTCGGTACGTTCTTTTGTCAAGATCATTGTCGTTCAACAGAAAGCTGACGTGCTGCTTTCTACAGATAATGCTGACGCCTGCAGATAATCCCGTGGCCCTTTCTCCGCCCAATCCCGTCATTCGAAAAGCGTGAAAGTGTATTCTTGCTCCCTTGAAGATTTACTTGTCCCGAGTACTTTCGTGTCGTTACACGCGAGATCGCGTCATATTTATTCCGCACTTCAGAATCGTATTCATGCTGCTGTGGGATAAGTTCAACAACTGAGGCGCTAAAAATGCGGGTGAACCAAGTCCAATTTCAGAAGGATTTAAAGATGTATGTCGCTTATGTCAAAATAAAGGGATAAAACTGAAATTTACAGAGATTGTGCACTTATATATCCCAAAAACCTGTGTTAAATTTGCGATCGATTATCCGACCCGTTTCTGAAATATTTGCTTTAAAAGTTACAAAAATTGTATATATATAGATATACTTCCCATGTAAATATCATAATAAAATTTTTATGGTACACTTCTATGACATCGAGAATTGTAATTACGGTTTTTTAAGATTTTCTGTTTATATTTTTTTTCAATTTTTTAATGATTTATTTAAACAATATCAAGTACAAAAATGGGACAAAATTGCGATTTTTACGCTTTTTCTGTCCCAATGATACCATGTCGTTTATGAATAATTTCTGAGATTAGCTACATCTTTAAGCCAACTCAAAGAGTTGCTTAGACGTCTTACTTTCCATAATTCAAAGAAACCAGAAAGAACGTGTGAGAAAAAGTTTTCTGCCATCACCGTCACTGCGTGTTGGTCGCATCGATTTGTTAAAGCATAATGACTTTAAATCTGTTTCACTCAGAATTAGCATCGCGTGACTCGCGGTCTGCTTTTGTACTTTCGGCGTTTCGGGGTACGAGATGTAGCTGCATTCAGCGATAACGAATGAATGTTAACTTGCGGATAACTCTGCATAACAGTTACTTGATTGCGTAACCAGCAATTGTGTAAAAACAGTTTTAATATAAATGCAAACGATCGATTTCTTTCGCCACGCCGGGGAGAAACCGGCGGCGATATGCGAAAGCCGGCTTCGTCATACTCGCGCGGCTTTTTTTCGGCACGGCCGCAATAATGGACAACACGACGGTGATAAATCCATTCTCGCGGCCGTGCATGCGGATCTAGACGCGGCGTTGCAACGCGCCGAAGGAGACCCGTACATACATCAAAGTCTTTGATTTTCCATGGCACGGCTGCCGAATCGCTCCGCGAAATCTGAATTTTTATATACGAAGGCAAAAGTGAAAGAGGGGTAAAATCACCCTGTCAAAGGCAAGCATATTCGATGTAGCGGGACCGGAGTGATTTATATTGAAATAACACCGTCAGGTAAACGAACAGATTGACGGATAAGCCGGCGCGCGAGTGTGTGCACGTGCGTGTTTTTTCGGCATATGAGTGTGTATATACCTATCTACGTATATATGTTTCATCGTCGAGATGTATACGGAGGCTATATCCCCGCGTAAGAGTGGCTTGGCAATGTACGAGCTCGCTAAAATAACTCCAAGATTGCCTTGAGAGGATCATCCTTATTTGAAAGTTGGATGAAAATCTCATCGTCCTCAGGACGTACCTTCCCGGAAAATGACCCCGAGAACCTATAACAGTTCCTGGCACTGATAAGACGTAATCGAGCCCGGGCCGAAAACGGATTTAGAGTGGATCTAAAGTGACATATTTAGAGATACGACTCGATTTTTATTCCGAACGAAGGTCTGCCGGAGTCTCGACTGAGTTCCGAGTCAATTTAGATAAAGTATACGCGCGTGTACATAATTCCACGCTCTGTCCTTGTAATTTTCGCGAATAAGCTCGAAAAAAAAATACATTTGCAACATAAGCGACATAATTGCAACATTGGGAATTTTATTCGGATTTTGTTATATATAATTTTATAAATGTATACCTATTATACGGTACCTATTTCAAATTAATAATTATATAATTTTGATTCTTCGAAACTTCGATCTTCGAAGATTTTAATGTCGAAGCTTCGAAGTTTTAAATATTGACGAAAATAATTTTAATAAAATATATCAGAGCCTTGCTGTGTCTTCTCGTATTACCGGACGACCGCACGACGAAACTAATTTTAAGACGCACATCTTCGCGGATGTCGAAACTCCCTGGCTCTTGACTTGCGAATAATAGCATTCCTATCGCATGTAAATTTCCCTCTCGCAAACAAGCGCGAGTATACGTGGGCGACGAACGGCGCGGCGGGGGAAGGATGCGCACCACGCGCACACGGACATCGAATGCGACGAACTGGCAGTACTGGCACGGCTGGCAGATACAACCTGGGCTGTTAGTTTAGCTCAGTTTAATTTAGTTTAGTTTAGTTTAGTCAATAGTTGAGCCGTTATTGTACCCCGACGTGGCAGCGTGCGCCGAAGGACCACCCTCTCTTCATTTGCATACCGGGTGTGTCCGCGTAAATACTCCGACTCGGGGAAAAGTCTGCTCTTGGCACATCAAAGGGACGCGGCGCGAATTAACCCGCGCATTACCATCCCGCCCGCAAACAGAACCGGCGAAATATCGGCTTTGAACGGCGGCGGGCGGCGCGGCGCGTCATTGTTGCGGCGTTAAACGCGCCCGCTTTAGAGAGAGCCGAGGCGCGCCTTGGCGCGCGCTGATAAAGCGGCGCCCGTTGTCGCGGGCCTGTTGGAAAGTTTCGCGAATCTCTCGGCGCACAAAGGACAATTAACATTCCCCGATTAAATAGAGCGAATTTAATAGACAGTCGCTTGACAGACTACGTGTATGCTTGCAAGTATCAGACACTTCCAGCTATTAAAACTGCACGCGTTTTTATTGGCTTAATCGATAATATACAAGCAGCAGTAATTCAGTTGTCGGCGTTTACAAAGAATCGCATATAAAATAGTTTGTTTTGCGCACCTATACATATCTGTGTATATATATATATATTCCTATGTATACATATACGTATATCTAACAGCAGTAATAGCGAATTCGGTTGGACGCACTAGTGCGCGCTGGTGCATATTAAAAAGCCGTTGTACACTGATTTAATCTTTAAAGCAAAATGCAAATATCTTGACTGATAAAATGCCCAATACATATTTTACCAAATAGCACAATAAAGAATATTGAGGGGATTTCGTGATTTAACACGTTTATATTAAACACGCTTTACACGTTGCTTTGTGTACGACGGCTTTAATGTGCACCAATGCGCAATGAGTGCGCACTAGTGCGTCCAACCGAATTCGCTATAATAGTTTCATTTACCAATAAAATGTATTCATCTTAAATACTGCGAGTCTCACACGTGATTCAAGGAACAATGCAAAGTGACGTGATGTGGCAAATTGTTGCTTACCAAAATAAAAGTATAATTGCAATTACTACAAACGTCGCAATTGAATAAACTAATTCAATTCTATCTATAATAGAAGAAGCTTCAAAGAATTCTTCAATCGACATCTTGCGGTAAAATTAATTAGCAGTAACAATATGTACAAATAATCATACTATTAATTTTATATTTTTACATTAATAATAATTCTGTTCAAGCAGCATTATATAATGATATATACATCAAGGCTCATATCGTAGATTATATCAGATTAACTCGATCCGGCAGAAAATAAAAAGAATTAGGAGTTATGAAGTACTTTATTAAAAGCATTGTAGGATGTCTCTAAATCGAATATCAATTGTCTGACTTGAGTGTCCGATAATTCGTCCGAGGCGGACATATTGTCGAGGGTCTGCAACCATTCCGCAACTTTCTCTTTACCGTCAAAATCACTGGGTAGTATACTGAGGCGATTCATGGTGTCCATGAGATCCCTTAGATCGGGGTGCAGTTGATCCATGGCTTTGATCTCCAGTCGTAACTTGTCCATGAGTGTGATAAACAGCGAAACAATGTCGGCGATGCACTTGGAAGTGTTGCCTTTGTCGTCTTTTATCGTGATTGGCCTGTCCTCCTTGATTCTCTCGAGGGCAGCGGGACAATCTAAGCGGAACGCTCTGGTGAAGGAGTCGATTGTTGGAAATTGATCGCTTTGTACCTACAGCAAGAAAATGGAGAGTTTACATATCCTCATTAGATATACTTAAGTTTATATATTATTCTTCATTAAATATGTACTCGATAGATTAGGCTACGGTCAACGTGACGCTACAAATGCTTTGGAGCGTTCTTCTTCTCTTTCTTTCTTCATTGAAAGAAAAGAGAAGAGGAATGCTTCGAAGCATTTGTAGCGTCACGTTGACCGTAGCCATAATAATAGCATATCATGTGCAAAAGAGACACATTAATTCTTGTTTTACACATTGGTTACTCACCTGTTTAAACGCAGCTCTATATTGCACTAACAGTTTGCTGCACGCCGCTGTATATTCCTTTGGCGTGACGCAGTCTCTGATGTAAGCCTTTTCCAAATGCTGCAATGTGTTTACCACGGCGTACAGATCCGCCTGATTGTCGTGCTTCTCTCTCTCCCGGGCATTTTTATAGAGCTTAACTTCTTCGTATAATTCGGGACGGTCCTGAGTAATCGACATCGTTCTAAAACTGTAAAGAAAAACCGATATTTCAATGATACTAAAGGTTATTTTGAGGTTAGGTACACGCAATAAGAGAAAGCGACGACGCCTATTGTTCACAGAGGTTTCAGCCACTTTGCAAAAGCAAATGTCGCGTTAATTTACGAGATTCATGGTTCGATTTCGAACTTCTTTAATCCAGATTGCGGTAACTCGATGAAATATCTAACGTCGAGCAGTTCGACGCGACAACGTGAAACAGTTTCGAAGAATGTAGACTTTATTACGTACCTTTGTGCCGCGGGTTTCGTTAATTTCACGTCTACGTACAATAATGATTATTATGGATTGTATAAAGACGGCAAAAACAATAAGATCAAAGCGATTGACAGCTTATTGCTGCACAACACTGACGAATCACGGAATACAGAGCCACCTACTTGACCTGCCGCGAGTGTGTAACAGCATGTAAGATAGTGATGTGAAATAGCAGTGATCGACTTTATCTATTGCAAATTAATTTACAGTTTCAAAAAAATCCATATATTCTATACATTTTACAATTTATTTTTAAATACGTAATTCTATTTTGCGAATATACTGCTATATTTCATGACTAATATAATACGGATATCTTAAAACAAATAACCGCTTAAAAAATATATTTAATTTATTAAATATAACAGCGATATATTACAAATATTAAACGATTTCTTATCAGTCTAATTTTATTATAAAAAAATATCGCACGACGTGTGACGTACACATTTGATTCAAAAATAGTTAAGGCTGTAGATTCAAATTGCACAATTGTACTTTTATGTCGTATCACTGGCAGTGATTCCCTACAACAAAATTATCACAATTATATGTCTGATGTCTCTACTTAAAATAGTAGCTAACAGCACCTGAGGAAACGTAACACAGAAAATGCTCTTGTTGTAAGGTGCAATGTGTGAAAAAACTAGAAAACTCTGCAACATATATTATTTTAAATATATAAAAAGCAAATAAATTAGAAATTAAATATTTGTCGCATCACGTCGGGCTTATCACTGCCAGACTTCATCGCGCAGAACGGCAATTCTCTCTGTTCTTCTATACAGGGACAGTTGAACTCTTTGAGAATTCGTTTTTTGCGCTCACGCGATTTCCCAGCGTTCTCAACATCGGGTATTTCGCGATTGTCACTTATACTTATGTACATCACTTCTAAGGTAAGATCGTCCTTGTCCAAGATGTTCCATGGTGGATAAACGTTTATCACAACTCGCGATATCATTTTCAATCTACCAATTATATCACAGACTAGCATTATCGTTATATTCCCGTACAAGACTTTCTTCGGTCGGACTTGAGTCGCATTATCCTCTTCTTCCGGCTGTTCGACCTCTGTGTCGGTCTGCAGGAGATTGTAGCGATCCTCGATCAAGACGCCTTCCAGAAACTGGTTGCCGAACTGCTTTGTAGAATCGCGCACGAGTACGCTGATGTACCGCGCTGACGTGGCGTCGAGTTCCTTGTTCATTCGATGACGCCATATACGAATGCCGGATACCTGCGCGTTGATCAGTGACTGTAGTCTCGCGACCATGCTTCCTCTGGAACAAAAATGCAATAGTTAGAAATCACGTTCGTGAAACTATACATTATCGATACCTGGATACCTACTTTTTGGGCTTGCGGCGTTTCTTCCCGGAGTCCAAGAGACGCGCGTGCATACTCTTATCCGGTGACTTTTTCGACGGGGTTGTTATCGTGCTGATAATGGCATCGGTTTGTTGGGTCGCCGACTTGCTGGCCGTCTTCTGCGTGGTTTTATTCACAGACGTCACCTCGGAGATCATCGCGGACAGATGTGTACTTCGATCCCGCATCATTTCTGCCTCCGAACAATAAGTTTCATTCGAGTCGTCGGTAATCAACTGCAAGGATGTAAACGGCTGTCCTGAAGGGATCAAATTTTTATCCGCCTGCGTATCGGTTTCCTCTATGAAGTTACTCAATTTGTCGCTATTGCTGGACGCGCTCGTAAGTTCATCACATTCCTCATCCTCGCTGCCGTTGCTCGTACCTGTTTCTATCTTTGTATTACCTTTATCAGTTTTATTACTACTTGAACTGTCAGCGAAACTCAATCTCTCCTGTATCGGTGATGAAAATGTCTCTATACATCCCTGATATTTCTCTGGACTTTCCCTTACCTCGGTCGAGAAGACCAATGCTTTGGCGTCCAAATTTTTCCCCAACTTATCTTGAACCGCAGACAGATTGTTCCGCTTACCGTCAGGTTCCGTCGTTGATTTTACATTTATACCTGTGATTTTACAGTTGTCATGTGACTTTGAACATCTGGGAGAAACACCGTTCTCTGGTTCATACTGCAATTTTTTTTTCCTCTTCTTGAAAACGCGATGCGACGTGGTACCGAGGACAGGAGACGACTCGTCAGCGGTCTTCTCTGCACCAGGTGGGGTGTGCTGTCCCTCGCTGTTACATTCCCCATACTTCGCGCTCTTCTTACATCCGCAACGTGGCTTCTTACAGTTCGCAGAGTGCTCCGCGACTTCCTGACGGTCCGCATTGCCCGGCTGCCTTCTCGCCGTGGCGTTTCTATTTACACCGATCTTTCCCCTAGGTCGCTTCCTACCTTTGCTGAGTATCGGCGATCTCCGGGAGGCCGTGGTGGTCGCCGACGCAGTAGTCCCCAGAACGGGGGACAACTGGGACGGATCATTGCGCTCGCCGTTCTCGTGAGTCTCGAGCCACTTGCGCACGTAATCCCCCTTCTCGGTGCACGGTATGCGAGCGACATTCTCGTCGATCACGAGGACGCCGTTCCGCGCCGGGCGCCGCCGCTCGACGGCGCCGAGCTCGAGGATCGACTGGCCGAAATTCAAGGATCTTCTTACGTGTCGCGGTTTGACGACGCGCGGTAATACATCCCCGCGAGGAATTAGACTGCAGCTCGGTCTGTCGCAATCGGACATCGCGAGTAAATTCGACTCATTTGTATACCCTGCTGCCGGCACGGAATTGCACAGTCGCGCGTTCGTGTTGCTTACATCACAGCGTCCGACTCCGAGTTATGTGTCATGTGCGCGCTGGGCGCCGCCATGTCACCTCCACCTCGTTTGGCTCGTTGCCGGAGCGACCAGGTCTGCATCTCGAAACTGTTGCGCCCTGTTCGAATAAAATACGGAAAAGGGAGCGACAAGCTATAGTCGAGCAAAATCTCTCGAAATTCTCGAAAACTGTTTGACTGTGATCAGTTTGATTCTCTTATCGTTGATTTAAATTTTTTAATTTTTGAAAATTAAATTTAAAAAAATTCTTTTTTTGCTTAAATGTTTGTACCTCACGCCTAAAGTCGTAAAATTATGCGCACTTTTCAATGGTGTTTTGTTGCACGAAGAAATCGTATAAGAAAAATAGATTCGCAATTTTTAAAACAGATTTTTAAAAGAATTTTAAACAATTTTATCAATGAAAGTAATTATGAAAGTTATTTGAGATCGATATTATAGCTTGATATTAGATAAATGTAATTAACTTAATTTTTATATTGGTTAATCTATTAATTATGTTTTATTTAAATATATACTTTCTTACAGCTTAATTATTTTTGCGTATACTATAATAGTTATCTTATTCTAATAACACAAAATTTAATATATCAAAAACGAGACTCAATACGAATGAAAGATAAAGAAGATATCAATCACAGTGTTTTGTTGTATTTCTAAAAGAGAGAGAGAGAGAGAGAGAGAGAGAGAGAGACTCTCTTTCTAAAAGATTCTCTCAAGAAAGCTCTTTATGTTATCTGTTATCTGCTTGTAGATATATCTAGTAAATGAAGTCGCTATAATATCCTGTAAAAGAAATGTAAAAGATATCACGAAAAAGAGATCATAATGTTTTCTCAAAGTAATAATGTTAATATAACACGCAGTCGCAGTTTAATTTTAGCAGCAGGATCTTTTACAAGATTACAACCTCCGTAGTTATTCTGTAATCTGTGCTATATTTTGTAAGAGCCAGTATTATTGTGTGATACAGCACAAAAGCTTGCAGAGACATTGACTTTAAGTTTGTGTCTCTTTAAATTTGATTTCTAATCCTGTTTAACCCTTCGTACCCTGCATACGTTTTTTCGTTACCTTCTTAGCGCAACTGTGGGTCTATCACGTTTGACGCTATTTTTTCTTATTAAAGTATTTTAAAAAATTTGAAAAAATTCACAGAACATCTGTCTACATTGTAGTTGACGATTTTATAGTCATTTTGATAAATATCGTTTATTTAATATTTTCTCGCAGAGGCTTGCAAGTATGCACACGAAATCAACTTTGATTACATTCATTAAATAAAATCTTTACCTCGTGTCCGGGCAGCGCCTTTAGGCGTTCTCATTATTAACATATTATTACATTAATTAATATTAATTAATATTAATTATAGTTAGTTAATATTAATTAATATTATTAATATTTATTGTATAATAAATTTGTTGCTGCGTTGTTTTTAATATTTGCCAGTTAATATATCATTACAAGATTTTTAAATACTTTAAAGATGTGTTATAGACAAGTACTTACAGGTAAGAAGGAAGCGTCAGAGTCAGAGGCTCGCCACGTACGACTATAGTCCATTCGATTATCAATGTCAAGTAACGTGGGCACGGTACTATACCTTGGATGAGTGATCGATCAGCTGAGAGAACTTTTTTTTTATCAAATTCAAGAGTTCTTTTGAAGATATCATTTATATGATGTCCTTATCTTCTCTAAAATCGACGCATTAGCCAACAATATGACATCATTATGTTATCTTCCAGATGGCGTTGTAAGATGTCAATTCGATAACATATTGCTCACTGGGATCTAATTAATGAAATAAAATCTCAAAGTGTGTCCAATATATTTTAGTTATCACTCAATACAATACTACAAATTTTGTAATCTTTTGAAGAATTTGCGAATTAAAAAGGAAATTAATTTGGTCTTTAAATCAGATAATACAAGTTGTAATCAAAGTATGTGTATATCAAATTTATTAATGTTAGAACGTTAAAACGTCCTATCTCTCGTATAATATACGTATAATATATTTTATATTCCGTTCTCTATGCCTTCCCACTTCGATGGCGTGGTTAAACGTACAAATGCGAGATTTAGTGTGATAATATCCTGTGCTCCGCGGACCTGCCTCAATAGCATCCGCTATAGCCCTGATTTGAGCATGCGGATGTGATACTTGGACGACTATCTTACCCCGATACCGAGTGCTCTTATTCAAATGGAACGACAGGGTGTTCCTTCCGATCCCGTTCGTGATTGAACCCTCGGCGCTCTCGCAGCATTATCATTGATAAACGTTTTTCGGGCAAAACGTATCCGGGAATCAATGAAATCTTTCTATCACATAAGTAAACGGAAAGAGAAAAGAAGTACACTTTGCTTATTCCGAGAAGATATAAAATTTATTTGCAAATTATCTTACAATATTATTAACTTGAAGTAAATAAACGACAAGTAAATAAATTCAAGTAATAAATTGTTCCATTGATGCTTTAGTAGTCTTTCCTAAACTTTTCTCTCGTTTTATAAAAATTGTGAACAGTGCATTACTGCCAGATTTCTTCGTGAAACTACATAGCTTCAAGCGGGCTCCGTCGTTTTCGCGGGACTGGACGATCAGGAAATCAGTAAGATAGATAGAGAAATAAAGATACAGAGAGGGAGAGAGACCGCGTCGACCGCGAGAAAGGGTTTAGGCCGGTGTGGAAATCTAAATCGGCGAGAGAGCACCGCGCTGTGTGCTGACCGCGCGGGCACAATTACCGGGCGGCGAGTGTCGAGGAACCCCATTTTATATATTAATAGTCGAGATAGCCGCCTGTGTGTGTCACGTTACCGAGAGGGCCACCTCGGGTTAGGACGGGCGGGAGCCAGGGGGACGTACGCGCGGTCTCGGAGGATCGTTGTTGGGAAGTGGAAGAGAGATCGGGAAGAGGGAGGAGATCGGCTCTCGCGCGCGCAAGAGAGAGAGAGAGAGAGAAAGAGCGAGAGGGCTCGAGAGGCTCGTACGATCGATCGAGGGAGATCGAACGATCGGATTCGCGGGACGGGCAGAGGGGGAAGCCTCGAGGGGAGCCTCGAAATGATAGATACGAGGACGGTATAACCGCGCGCGGACCCCTTGCATCTACATGGTAGCCTCAGTTCCAGTTCGCGATGGAGGCTACTTGCTCCTTCTGCCACTAGGTAGTTGTGCACTCCTTACCACAGGGAGACCGACGAGAGCGTGATAAAAAACAAAAGAGGGACAAGTCGAGGGAGAAGGGTGAACGAGATATAGAGAAAGCAAAAAAGAAAGCAGGAAGAGGGAACTGGTTCGAAGGGAACTGGAGTCGACGAAGAGACCGTTAGGAAGAAGACGAAGAACAAAACGGGTAACAAAAGAAGAAGAAATAAAAATCAGTGATAGAGGGGTAAAAGAATCGAAGGGGTGCGAGCCCAACGAAGAAGGGAGTCTTTCTCTCTCGGGGAGTCTTTCTCGATCTGCTCTCCGTATTTCGGGGTACGTCTCCTCGAAGCCTTGTCCCTCGGCTTCCCGATCGGCGGTGACGGCGCGCGAGGGATGACGACTCGCGGTGGCGGTCCAAGACGAACGTCGTCTTCCGTCATTTCGTTATTTCGCAGCGCGAACCGCGCGTAATATACGCGCGTACACGTCGTCGTGGCGGAACGGAGGTGACCGGATGCCGGGCGGTGCAGTGATTCGATTGATTCGCTGAAGAGTGTTCGTGGCTTCCACCGAACTTCCGAGTGCCGCGTTAAGTGAGCCTACGTGTGCGTGCGTGGGTGCGTGCGTGCGTGCGTGCGTACGTTTGTGTCTCTATACGCTGGCGTGAACCGCGTACGTACATATGTGCGTGCTTGCGTGCTTGCGAACGAGGCGCTGATCGGGGGCTTATACAGTGACGCCTTGGGCGCTCTTGTGTACGTGCCGGGTTCGCGAAGGAAGGCCGAAGGCGGTGGAGTCCGAGGCTGATGGTCCACCCGAGGTGGTCCACCCAAGTGAGAGAGCGTCGTCATCGTCCTCGTCATCAGCCCCCATCTACGCGCTGCCGCATTTCAATCAGCGCGGTGCAGAGGAAGCGGCGGCCGGACGCGCGCGCCTCATCGGGCTTTCTTCGATTCCTCGCAGTATAGGAGTCCGCTGGACGTGAGATCGGCATCGGTAAGATCGAACAGGAGGATCGTTGATAAGATTGAAGAAGCACAAGAGAGTTTGCGGGTGTCTCTTCGCAGAATCTGACTTGACAAAAATTGGAAATTAAAACCCTTATTTTAATGTGGACTTAATTAAATATTTAACTCTAATTATGATGAAGATAAATTGTCCTGTTGAAATTGATTACTTTTAGAATTTGGAGTCTATAATAAAATAATCTAATATGAATCGCTGATCAGTAATGCTAAAAATGCATAGTTACATAGTTGATTTATTAAATTATTATATTTTGAAAATCGAAATGAATGGTATAAAATGAGATATTGTGTTATAGGGATATCTCGTGCCTAAATTGCATTTATTGACATAAAGATTGACAGCGATATCCAGTCATGTTTTCGTCAAATAAATTGTACGAAATTGTTATGCGTTTTATAAATAACAGTATATACTATCTTCGTCAAGGAATGTTAGAGAAAATTTCTTAGAGTTTTTCCAGTGATACGAACATCTGCATTTGCGACGTGTCTAATTAATTGAGTTTTATCCGCATTTTGTGACACGTCCGATCAGTTGGTACCTGCATTTTACATGTCCGATTAGTTGACCGCGTCAGAGAATCCACGTCATAGTGAGGTACGTCATCCGCCATCATTTCTCTTATCAGGCGCAGCTATTATACTATCGTTGGAATAGAGATGACTACATCCTTAATTTTGCCAGGTGCAAAAGTATATATAGGCGTCTATTAAAATTGATTTTAAAACTTGATGCTTAATTGTATGTCATTGACATTGAGAGACATTGTAGAAAATTTATTTATTTTGATTTCTTGCGGCGCAGTGATAAAACTGAAAATTCACCAGCTTACTATAATTACTTCTATAATATTCGGAAAAATGTGAGAGTAG